TTACACTAAAATGCAACACTATGCATCTAGAAAGAGATCACACACCTTCGCATTTTATTTACCCAGTTCACTTCACATCGAACAAACAAGATCTAAAATATTGGTTTTGGTATCTTGTTACTTACTATGCAGGATATACTGTGTTCATACTATGCAGCCTAACCCAGTGGCTGTCAAACTTTTGACTCCTATTATCAATTTACTATAAGACAATATTTCAAAGCAATACATCCTTAGGTACTGTTGTAATGTTGGCAAAGCTGTTTGTTTTAAAATATATTATATTCACAGAAACTAGATCAATACATTTAAGAGCTCCTGTTGCAGTGTTTTTCCGTGATTTTTACAATATGCAGAAAAGCATAGTATAATATGACTATAATAAATGCAAACGCGCAAAATGTTTGTCAAAATATTTTAATCAAAAACATTTCGCTTCTACTTTAACTTGAAAAAAAATCACGTCTTTTAACGTACAGTTTGGATGCAGACATGAAAATAAACTCGGGTAACACACAAAAACATAAGGTGACAAGTGACCTAATCTTGGATGCCATTGGCTGAGATGCACGTCAACAAATCAAAACCAAAAACCTGATTGGCTAGTTCGAGTGTCAATCAGAATACTTCCATTTCTCGTTACTGTGCCATATTGAAACAAAAGCCACATATGAGAACCTGCAGTTTCATTCATATGAATGTCTGAACCGGCTCGAAACGTTAACAAAACTGTCAGTTTAAGAACAAGGCTCGCATGCTACTGAGTTTATTATTTAAACTAATAAGCACAGAAAGGGCAATCGGGATATAGTGTATGCTGACCTCTCGGCTTTATTATAGACTTGTATATATACAAGATATAGACTATATATATAAAGATAACTATGCAAAAACGCGAACGTAGCTTAATAAATCTTACCAGTGACAGCCGTCATCTTGATTAGAGGATTAATGTAAACTGCACGTATATATTTGGCTACTCCCAGTTCAACATAGCCGCGTGCACGTCAACGAGAGCGCACTGTACGTCTGACGTAAATCCATGAGAGGTATATTACATCATTTGAGCAAATCAGTTTACCAGCAATACTGCTACTACGAATAAGGTTAATTTATACAATATTTTACATGTATAGAAAATAGTTTAAAGTGATAACATTATAAAATTATAATGTATATAATCATTGATTATAATAAATTCTAAAATGTATTAACAAAAATAAATCCACAAATTTAGAAGGTATTCGCTTCTGATTACCATGTTTGAGTTTATTTTGGATATGTAATCACAATATAACAATGCTAGCACCATCATGTACAGAATGGAAAGAACATGTGCAACAGTCACTTCAAGTATACAGATGCATTATAAAATACATTATTGCACAAGTTTTTTTTTTTGTTAGTTTTTTTTTTTTTTTTAATTTTCATTTTCATAATTATCATCTTCATTTATTAAAACTCAAAAATCATGAGCCAACAATGCAAAAAAATATCTAAAATGGTTACAATTATTTATAAGTGGTAGTACTCAGAATGTTTCTTTTTATTTTTCAAGGTCTTGAAATATATCTGGATCACATTATCACAGTCTTATCTGTGGTGTGTACAGATGAATAAATCAAAAAAAGACACAAAACATTTTTCAAGGGAATCACTTCATTCCGTGACAATTTCTCACCATCCACTTCAGGCACTGTAGATCTAGCTGTTACGAGAGGTTAGAGACAAATTCCATGACTGGATTGAGGTCTTCGGTGAGCTCTTCTGAGAGTGACAGTACCGTTGATATCACGTTTTGTGTTAATTCTGACACCCTGTGAAGAGTACTTTCATTAATTATGCTGGATTACTTTTGGCTGATTGTAAAACAAATGGAACTAAAACCATTCTCACCAGCTCACGTGATGTGCTGGCAACTGAGGATCCAGCTTGGACCCTTCCTCTGTCGAAAGAGACATCTTCAGCTGCTTGAAATTAGACTCAATATCCTTTCTTATGATGGATAATGGCAAAATATCTTTGAGAGCGTTTAGGACTTGCTGTACCAGAAACAAACAACTTTGAATGACACACAGAATCAAACTTTTTTTATGGACAGATCACATAGATAAAATGATTTGAATGAAGATCAAGTCAAACAAACTCACATAAATTGCTGACAGCTGATGTGCAATGTACTTATGACTGCCCAGATGCTTCACATCTTCATCTAACTGCTGACTGAGAACCAGCAGCTGATTCAGCCTCCCAATATGAGGAAAATAAGCTGGAATGATAAACATTTCCCAATTAAACTGATTAATCAGCTATGCTGTTTAGGAGCAAATAAGTGAGATTCCAGCACTTTTTTAATCATTTGTTTGTTCGTTTTAATATAATGTATATATTATAAATGTAGAATAAATGTATTAAGGAGGCGAGCTTGCTAAATATTTTTAATGCATTTTTTTTACCTTTAACTAGCACATTACTTTTCTGAAGCTTTCTATGTTGTCTTTTATAATTACCATCATTATTTCCATTTCTGTTATGCATTTTATGTTTACTACTTTATTTTTTATTATCATAAAGTGAATTTTTAATCTTATATTAATTTTGATATTTTTAAATGTTTTCATGTGAAGTACTTGGTGCTTTTTGTAATGCTTTTTCTTGTAAAGCACTTTGAGCTACATTTCTTGTTTGAAATGTGCAATACAAATAAAGTTTATTATTATTATTCATTATTACCCACATCGAATCAACCATTGGCCAATAAATGTAACTGTATTCCATTATCATTCTCCCATTCATTCTGTGGTCTCACCATCTGAAGGTGGTCTTTCCAACATGTCAACAGGGCTGCCATGTATCATATAAACTTCCACTCGAGGGAATAGAGTAGATAATCCTACGACATCCAAATACTCCTAAAGAAATGGAAATAAATGGAAACACATCACCCAAAAATTCTAACTGGTTTAAGAGGAATGGTTAATTGGTGAGATTAGCTACCTCAAGCTGAAGCACCGGTTCATTGAGATGTTCAAGGCACTGGTTCATCCGATATATTATCTCTGCCCCTACACACAAATTCAGAGGTTGTACATACATTTGATAACAATTACCCATTTTGATTTCCAGTAAAAAATTATTATTTTAGTCCTAAGCTTACCTTGTTTTTGAAAACACTCAGTCTCTTCAGGACTTGTGTCCTGTTTGAGCTGCTCCTGAAACTGCTAATTCAGATTAGATACTTGAATGAGCCAAACACACAAGTATTTTCAGTGTTCAAAGATCTGAGCATCAGTGCAAGTGTCTCACCTGATGGACCTGAGCTCTGGTCAGTAGGTCCAACTGGCTGCAGAGACACAGCATCTCCAGTGCCACCTGCTCACTGCTCAGGTGGATGGGCATCAAGGGCTTCCTCAGGCACACCTCAACTGCAAATATTAAATAATCGAGAAATAAAACATGAATGTGTTCATATTCAGTCAGATGATCATTCCATAAAAATGCAACTATTATTGAAGAGATCGGCATTACCTTTAAAATGTGGGCTGTAAGAGCAAGGTTTGCAAAGCGGATCCGTCAGACTCACAGCTGCCATTATCACCGTAATAATCCGAGCGGTGACACGGATTCATATGATTAATACTGCATTTATTGGTTTACTCATCCATTAATTGCGTTTGTCACTCTCATTGCAAAGGGGCTTTTCAGTGGTCCTCCTCTCCAAGGTGTTCATTCACACAGCGTCATGAGATGTAAATAAAAGGCGTGGTCAAATCTGCTAGACAAGAAACCACGAGACGTATTAATGTTCTGTGAATCTGCATTGAACTAGCTGACATAGAAATTGAACAAAGTGGGTAGAATGGATATTTTTATGACTCATATGTGTCTGAATGGGCGGAGCTTGTGGCCCAGGCGTTGAGTCGAAATAGCTTCTTTTTTATTTGAACTTTAACAATGGTGTATTTTCAATTAATTTGCCTTTAACGTTTCATAGTTATATTATTTAGCTGGGTTTACAAATTTCTGCAAACCAATAGTGAAGCAGCACATATATAGAATTTTCACGAGGTGCTGGTTACTTTTCTCTGCGCTGTTAAGGATGGGCCAATCACATTCGTTTAGATGAGGATTTCTGAAGTGAAATGCGGTTATCAGGCGATAATCTTAAATTTAGAAATGAATCGATTTAATCGCGTATACTTTTTTAACGTAACAATAAGGCAAAGTTTGCATGCGCCTCATAATTGACATTTTGGGGCTCCATGCGCCACTTGAAAGATGATGCATCACTGATCTATATACAAGTTGTGATACATTCGATAAATATGAATTAGTTACTTATTGGCTTGTAAAATTCTCCTCTCAGTGGGTGGACCTTTGTGTGTTTGACCCATATTGTCTTAAGAGACAAGACAATTTATGAATATATTTTAAATAGGATTACTTATTGTTCTTAAAAAAAAAAAAAAAAAAAAGTACCCATACCAACTTATAATATACAGTAATTAATCTTTAAATGCCAGACATAGAGAAGGATAACTGTTCTAATTTTGTTCTCTAAATATATTTAATTTCACTTAATCAAACAAACAAGGAGTTATTAATGAAAGGATGGAGCTATTTTCAATGTTTATTAAATAGTAATAAACACAGACAAGAAAAATCTTAGACCTTTTCCATGATTCTAATGAATGACAATAAAACACTGCTTATTTAGAAGGTTTGTCACGCATATTTAAAGTGAAAGGTATACTAAGAAATCAAAGTAATGCAATCAAAGAAAAAACATTTAAATAGTGTGCTGATAAAGAAAACATCAATACTTACACAATATTGATATCTTGTATTACAAAAAAGACAAGAATTTTTCTGCAAAGTTTCAAATAAAAAAATACAGCTGTAGTTAAACATTTTTTCTATCACAATCATTTCCTTAAGTGCATCGGAAAAAAAATAAATCCGTTAGCAGAACTTTGCCGAGCTATTTAAAAAAAAAAGAAGTCCTGCTTTTGTCACAATTATTAATTTACATGCTTCATAATACAATAAAAAAAAAGTTCCATCATATTTCTGCTCCCTTTTATGACAATATGATACACCAGCAGAAGAGTCCATCGGCTGTAGCAGAAAACCTGAATTTCCCTCGAGTTATTTACTGATCGTCTGGAGAAGTTTCCTAAGAGACAACAAGTCATGACCGTCCAACAGGGTTCAGCGTGAGATTAGCCATGAGCTCATGAACCGCTGCAAATATTGTGCACTCTCCTGTAAAAAAAAAAAACAGGCTAGCATTAATATTGAAATGCAAGTATAGAAACAAAATGTTAAATATCTGACTAATATTATATACTGATTTCCATATCAATTTAAAAATTCACATTAAACAAAACAGATGTGTGAACCTTGTCGTGGTGGATGGTGCTCATTGAACCTCCTGAGGATGGAGCTGACCATCAGGGCCGCGGCTCCCGAGGAGCTGTGCTGGCGGGGGATATCAGCCTGCTGGGTCAGTCCAGTAGCCATGTCATACACAATAGGCACTATGATGCTGACGGGCTCCTGGGGTACCGGTAGCCTCTGGGTCAGCTGGAGCTGTAAAAGAGCATCACGACAAGTTAATACACGTTAGGAATCCATAGTAAACTTAAACCACAGATCAAATACAAGTTGCTGGGTGTACAATGGCCGGAATATTAGTGTAATAATCAGAATTCAGGACATGGTTATTTATGTATGGTGAGATCGTATTTTATCCATTGGGAATTGGTTGTATGGTAAAAGGGGACATTGCAAACCAGAAAGGAGTGGCTGAAGCACTTACAAAGAAGAGCATCTTGGTCTTAAGCACCACAGCAATGGTTCCTGGTGGGGCGATGGGAGGAGCGCTGGGTGGGATGGTCAGACAGAACTGCACATTCCAATTCAGCTGGGCCGCTTGGTCTGGGAACTGGAGGAAAAATGATGGGCCAGTGAGTTTCCAAATGTAAGTTTCCAAATGTAAAATATAGCTCAAAAGTTCAGGAAGATTTTTTTTTGTTTTGTTTTGGAAAGAGGTCTCATATGCTAACCAATGTAATATTGTGAAATATTATTACAACTTGAATACCTGTTTTCTGGTATATTTATGTATTTTATTCCTTTAATGGCAACACTAGGTTTTTGCTTAAAGCTTTACATTTTCATGAGCAATTTTTCCCGTTTTTAGAGTTACATAAAACTTTAGAAATAATTTTTATATGCTGATTTAGTGATTAAGTGATACTTTTTTTTTTATTAAAAAAGGTCAAAAGAACAGCATTTATTTGAAATCTTTACTGTCCCTTTTGACCATATTAACATATCCTTACTAAATAAAAGTATTAATTAAAAATCTAATTGACCCCAAACTCTTGAAACGTAGTGTATGCTTGCACAAGGGCAAAAAAAGTAATATTAAATCAACATGAATGTGCTTACCAACTCCAGTTTCATGATGCGAACACAGTCTCTGAGTATGTTGGTTGGAGCTCCCAACAGCTTTGTAAAGGCATTTAGTGTGTTGTATTTAAAGGGTGGTCCTGCAACCTATGGTTTAAGTAAAAGAAAATGACTTGCACTTGCATAACTGCACAATACCTGACTTGATGGCATTGCCAAGAAGGCCACTGAGTGAACTGATTTGCTTTAAAGAAAAAAAATGCACAGCTAATTGCACTAAGCAGAATAGCAAAGATAAGCGTTTTCTAACTAGTTTTAAACAGGTAGCCCCTAATCATGACATTAGGCCAGTGTTGTTAAATCAGGGCGAACAGGGCCATTTTAAAATACACATTACAATTCTCTTCAAAAGTTCGTTTCCTACCCTGGTCTCAAAGAACTTCTCCAGGACCTGCAGCTCCTCCTGCGACCAGGGTCCAGTGTTTTCTGGTGTGACTTTCAGCTGCAGAGTCTGGTAGGTTTTGGGGTTGAGAGCCACTCTACATTTAAGCACTTCTGTCTTAAACATGATAACGCCTGGCTCGTTGGAGTTCACAATAGTGAGCTGTGAAGAGGAGGTAATCGAGAGTGATGCAAATACAGTGTGTAAGCAGAATCATATCAATCTGACTGGTTAAATGATGTGGTTGTAACTTGTTAACAGTTTCTGACTCACATTGGGTTCTAACTGTATGATTCTCTGTAGGTGCCGCCTCATGATGACAGAGCCCAGGAAGCGCTCCAGAGGTGAGCACAGGTAGCTGCCCGCCAGCCCTGGCACTGGGCATGGAATGGATGACGGCAGAAGCAGAACATGTAGTTTGCTGTGGGTGAGGATGGTGGGAATAGAAGCGGCCCAGGACCGCTGTGGCAGTTTACGGGGTGGGGGCATTGCCTGTGAACCTACACACACAAACACGCACAATGACTGACTGAACAAATTTAATTACTGCTTAATGTACAGTAATAATGTGAAATGTAAATAATATTAAATTCTCTCATTTACACTACTTTTTCTTTCTAGAAATGTGTAGTTTTACTAAGCAAGGATACATTCAACTGATCAAGTGACAGTAAAGACAATCTTACAAAAGATTTCAGTTTTAAATAAATGCTTTTTTTTTTCTTTCTAATTTTCTGTTAATCTTGAATCCTAAACATGTATCATGGTTTACACAAATATATTAAGCAGCACAACTGCTTTCAATATGATAAGAAAATTTTTTTCTTGAACACTAAATCAGTATATTAGAAAGATTTCTAAAGGATGTGACACTGATGGAGTAATGGCTGCTGAAAATTCTGCCTTGCCATCACAGGTATAAATTACATTTTAATATAAAAATAAGCTATTTTGAATAGCAATATTGTGCAATATTACTGTTTTACCTTGGTGAGCATAACAGGCTTCTTTTAGAAACATAAAAAAAAATCTTTAAAAATCTAATTTTTGACCAGTAGTGTACATCAAACCTAGGACAAACGATGTAATTATCGGGTTAATCGCACAGAAAGTGTCAAGAAAATGTCCAGGTACTTAACCCCAAAATCAATGCAATGCAAAACCCCATCAAGGTATTTTGCATTGCAATAAAGACAATTAAGCAGAAAAATTCTAACTGCAATTTAATAATAATAAAAAAAATTATTCCCATTACTGTAAAGTGGGAAAATATGTATATTTATAAAATAATAAGCTGTTCTGATAACATGGATCAGTCTTTAGACTCTGGACTTACTGGTGCCAGCTCGAGGGGAGTGGGATGGATCTGGAATAGGTGAGTGCAAAGAAGGGTTGCCTGGTGACATGCCAGGGATTCGGGCCCCTGGGGAGGGTCCAGAGACCTGCGGAGAACCTGGCCATGGTCCGACCCTTGGACTGGCGGACACCATCGTGTACGGTGAACTGGGGTCAAGAGTTCCTGCAATACAAATGAAAGACATTTGGATGGTAACTCACCCTCTCGAGGAGTGCCAGTTTCCATCGAGGTACACAGTTTTTAGTCCATGGCAGTAACAGTACTCAATACAACCCACCAAAAACACGCATATCCCTACTGCAAAGTAAGAGCTGCTTCAACAACAACCAACAATGATGATTTTGTATGATTAAAACAAGGCAAAGAGATTTAAACCAATGACACCGATTCACTTTCACATGATTTCAAATGCACACCAATTAAGATATTTTGAAGCTTGAAAAATGTTCTGAATCATGACATACTGTGACTAATGTGAGATAATTGATAATACTGTACAAAAATACACTATAATTCAAAGGTTTGGGGTCAGTAAGATAATTTTTTTAAGAAATTAATAGTTGTAAAGACAATTATGTTACAAAAACATTTCAGATTAATGTTGTTCTTTTGAACTCTCTTCATCAGAGAATCATGAAAAAAAAGTATCATGGTTGTAACTTTTCTTTCTTGAGCAAAATCAGCAGGATTTCTGAATGATCATGAGACACTGAAGTCGGGAGTAACGGCCACCACAGGAATAAATTACATCTTAACTATACTAAAATAACAAACAGATATTTTAATTGAAATAATATTTTACAATATTACTGTTTTTACTGTATTTTTGACCAAATAAATGCAGCCGTTTTGAGCACAAGAGACCTCTTACAGACCCCAAAATTGTCAAAATAAAATTTTACAAACACAAAAATAAAATAAAATATCAGGATGAAAAACTATTTGTTTTTTTCTTGCATATAATTCTGACATTTTGTTTACCCAGTCCCACCAGTCAAAGAAACAAAGAATCAAGGAATAATACAAGAAGTATCAAGCAAGTGCTCATTTAAGCTTTAAGAGTACATCCACCATGCGCAAAGTCGATCGTTAGCAGATGTCTTTCACCAGCCCATCAAAGATTGAAATCTCTGGACCGCAGAGGTAAAAAGGAAAGCCAATCAACAAAGCCCTGGATCCAGGCCTCCCGTGCACTTACCATGTGGGCTAGCAAAGTTGGAGGTCTGCCCCATAGAAATGCCCAGAGAGGAAGGAGAAGGGGTGGGCCCATAGGGAGAAGGGGCCCGCAGAGCTCCGCTAGGGGAATTAGCTGCGTGGATGTTCCCTGCACACAATTAACCAATCAGTGGCCTCATTAACATCTGACAAGAGCATGTCGCTCCCGTTCCTGCACGCTCACTTTCACACACGCTGCAGCCAAAGCGGGACAGGAGCTGCAGACCCCGAATGGAGATAGGTGGACAACTGTGGGCATGCTCCTTCATGAGGTTGCACGGTGATGGTGTCATCAAACACAGACTGACCGATAAAAGCATGCATACCAACAGACAGGAAGAGCTGGTAGGACGCCAATGAGAATGTTTCCTTTCCTTTTGTTTCCCTGACTCCATGGTGGCATGACCAGGACAGCACAGGCCGTAAAATGACAGCATTTGACAGGATAGAGACACATATTTATATACCTGGAGACTGTGTTGTTATCATGGACGGTGAGGGAGGCACGTGGTACGGGTTGGGGGGCGATGTGAGGGGTGGATAAACCCCTCTGCCTGGAGGCTGCGTCTGGGTGTGGGGCATGAAGGTGTCGTCCATGCTTATCGGGGAGGGAGGGTTGTCGTCTTCATTGACCGAGCGTCTGCGGGCGTCTTGGTTACTATCCACAAACATGTTCAAGAACGTCTGTGGAAAATCATTGAAAAGTGACAATTACACCCATGCACAACAACAGTTAAAGGGACAGTCCAAACAAAAATAAACTTCTGTCATCATTTACTCACCCTCAAGTTGTTCCAAACCTTACTTTCTTCAGTGGAACATTAAAGAAGATATTTTAAAGTATGTTGGTAACCCAACATTCTTCATATTACCCTCTTTTATGTTCCACAGAAGAAAGAAAATCATACAAGTTTGGAACAACAAGAGAGTGAGTAAATGATGACAGAATTATATAACATTTTTGGATGACTATCCCCTTAATATGTTTGATATTTTTGCTCCACCCACCTTTAGTCCTGGGGCGGGGTAGAAACCTTCAACTATCTTGGTGTTGTCAAAAAGACTATAGGCCCCGTCACGGATGGCCACCACACCTCTGCTACGGCAGTAGATGTCAATGCAGTACATGTTGCGGAAGGCCAGCCGGATGTGAGTGGGTGACTGAGGCAGGATGGAGAAGCACTGGTACGCCGTATTGGTCCTTTGGGTGAGACCCAGCATAGGCACTGTGGGTAGCTTGTTGATGGCATTTAGAGGAGCTTGAGTGTCTGAGAGGCCCTGAGAACAGACAAGTATGTGAGAATACTTCCAGCATCTACTAATGATCTATCAATATCTACTCCAAATTGGTCAGTTAACAATTTCATTTTGTTTTAAAGACGTATTAAAAAATTCGCTGGTAGATATTAATACAAGTACTAAAAATAAAACTACAGATTACAGTTCATACACCAGTAACCGCTTGAATTGTAGTAAGTAAATGAAGTATGATTTTTAGTAGTGTCAAGGCTCTAGATACCTGTAGAAGTTGTACTACATTGGGTGTCTTGTTGAACATCTCTTGAAGTTGGTGGAGAATTATGTTGTGACAGTTGCTACAGCCTGAATTGGGCCCCACAGTCCCCAGGGCCAGATGGTAACGCTGGGATGCAGAGTTCCACTGTATCGTCACCTGAAAGAAACCGGATTCAACTTGTAGTAAATGAAACAAGTGTGATTTAAACTAAATCACTAAATACAGGGATTAAGGGCCTTTAAAAGCACAATATGTAAGATTTTTTTATTAAAATATCCAAAAACCACTAGAACATTGTTATATATTTTGCTGACTTGTGTACTTACATTATCCCAAATGTTTCAAAGAATGTTTAAATCCAGAGAAATAAGCAATTTTAACTAGTGACACGGACCGTGTCCATAGTGTCATTGTGTCACCTGCCAATGACGCCATAACCCCTCGATTTCCATATGTTTGTTTTGTAGAAAACATGGAAACACCAAAGACACTTTAATATGTTGTGCGTTTTAATAAACCGGTGATGACCGCACAGAGTACCATTATAACAGAACTTTCAAATGGGCAAAAATTACATATTGTGCCTTTAACATCTGCATTTGAACAAGATGAGAAGGTTTTTACCGAGCTGCCTTTGGTGCTGCCATAACATAGAACCAGCTTCCGATAATTGTACAGCCGTATCTCTGAGAAAAGGCTCAAATAGGAGGGCATTTCTGGAAAACATAGATAATTAATTAATTAATTACAAGCAATTCAAGTTCTTCAAACCATTCATAAGTCAAGTACGTTCTCATACTTATACTAACATTCACAGGTTTGGTAAGATTTTTTTAATGTTTATGAAAGAAGTCTCTTAAGCTCACAAGTCTGCATTTATTTGATAAAAACACAGTAAAACAACAATACTGTAAAATATTATTAAAATTAAAATAATACAAATTAATACAAATTATATTTAAATATATTGTACAATAGAATGTATTCCTGTGAAGGAATTTAAAATTGATGCAATAATTTAATACTTTAAATGTACTATGGTATCAAAGGAATACAAAACATAGCTGGTCAACAATTAAAACTCAAATTAAAATGGAAGAGATGTGATTTACCTAGTTAGAACAGAGGTACCTACCAGGTAAAGCGCATGAGAACTCCAGCACACATTCATAAAGCTGACTAATGCTGTTCCAGTCGTTCAAGAACATCTCCACCACCTTCCTGCCACCCACCGGCTCCGAAAGGGGATTCTCATAAGTCAGGTAGACATGCCGCGCAGAAGCTGAATTGAAATAGACAGAAAATATTGTAAAAGACACATACATTATGGTTTTGAAAGCCGTTATGAGGATAATTAACTGTCTTTACCTTGATCTTTGTTGGCTGTGCTGTTGAGTGGACAACCGGAGAAAACCAATTCTGCCACCCAGGTGCGATTATTCCGGCCCTGTAGTCTGAACGTACAGTCCAGCAGGGAGCGCTCTAGAGCTTTTCTCGTTTCCTCACTCACTCCTTTACAAGGTGGAACTCTGAGAGAAGAAAAGCATTTAGCAAACTATCGGCAAAAGTTTAAGTCGGTAAGATGTTTTTAATGTTTTTGAAAGAGGTCTCTTATCCACCCCAAGGTTGCATTAATTTGATTTTTTTTTTTTTAATACAATAAAAACAGTAATATTGTGATATACTTTTACAATTTAAAATAACTGTTTTCTGTTTTAATATATTTTAAAATGTAATTTA